CGTCTCCCGGGCCTAGCCGGGAGCGTTTCATCAGCCGCACTCCCCTAGGGCACCGGAAGGGGCCCCGCGCCCGCCACGTGCTTGGGATCTGGGCTCGTCCCCGCAGGGAAAGAGCGGCGGGGCGGGCGAGGAGGCCGATCCCCAGTGACCAAGAGTCACAGGATCCGGTGCATGAGGCACACTCGGGACCAGAAGTTTCTTCTGGGCTTGTTGTTATTGAAAAACGGTGTGCAGTACTGAGAGCGTTGGTGGGAGGAGACGGCCTAAGGGCTGGTAGTCTCCATTTGCCCTTCCGATAAATTAAACTTTGTCTGCGTTTTCTTTTAAAAATGTTTAGTTATGACTGTGCCATGAAATTGTGTTATTTTTAATGAAATAATGTGTGAGATGTTCAAACTCAAACTTGTTCACCCTACTCTTGGAGATTTATGAGGCTCTATGATGACCTTTCCAAGGGAATCCCTGGTCTTGGATTCACCTTGGTTTGTTGTTCTGACAATAGGGGTGACACCAGGCTAACCGCACGTACTTTTTCTTTGCAGTATGTGCTTCTATAAAAAGAACAGATCTATTCTATTGGCCACCTTACCTAGTCTTTCAACAAAGAGCCTGAATACTTAGCTCCTGCTACAATGGCCTCATTTCTTAAGGGAATCATAAGCTTCTGTACTTTGTAAAAATGGCCTCTCCTTGCCTTGTTTCTCCCCTATGATGGATGCATATGTGGTTCCTACCCTTGCTTTCTCCATACAAGTGATCTTGCACAGGCACACGATCACATTTTGTTTTCAATCTCTTGAGGACTTTTGGACCACAGGACTTACATGGCTGCATACCCAAAGGAAGGGTGTTTGGAGCAGCAAGAACGAATTGAAAATCCAAGTAACATCCCATGTGGGTACCCAGGGAGACAGGTGAGTTAGATCAGGGTGTCAGGCTATTAAAAATGAATTTCTTTGTGAGCAAATCAATACTGAGTACCTGCTCAGTGCCAGCATTGTAGAGAATAGTTCGTAGAAGGGTCCTATATAGTATGATCAATTTGATAATAGTAATTTAGAGGTCTGGGAAAAAAGAGACCCAAGGGGTACTGAGACTTCTAAACAAAATGCTGACTATTGAAAGGGAACATGCAGCAAGCTGTGGTCTAGCCCAGGTCTCTAACCCTGCTCTGGAGCAAGGCCTACGACCTCCATGACAACAGAGACGGCTCGTCTGCCCTTTCCACCACCCTTTCTTGCCCACGCTCCAGCACAAAGTTTCC